TCCTCCCCCCCGCGGCCCCGCTGCCTGGGCCAAGCCCCGGCCCAACGCCCTGTTCCCGGGACCCCCCCACCACCCCGGTCCGGTCGCCGTCCCGGTCTCCTCACTCGTAGTCGCCCGTCGGCATCGCGCTCCCGCCCGCCCGTCCGTCCTCACGCCCAACCACCGGAAGGAGGCGCTACGCTTCCGGCGGGGCTGCGCCACTTCCGGCGTAGGAGAGGAGGAAGGGGCGGGGCGAGCCGCGCTGCACGCCGGGAGGCGGTTGCTAAGCAACAGATCGGTGGGCGCCACGGGACTGAGGCCTAGGCTAGGCCCGGAGAAAGGAAACGGGGAGAGGACGACGGGTTTATAATTTATAGGAGAGATTTATTTGAAGAAATATTACAACATATAAAAACTACATAAAGTATCAATTCCCACTTGTACAAAGCGGCCGATTATTTTCAATACAATGCGGCGTAAAAACAGGGAGCGGGGCCCCAGCATAGGGCCGGGACCGGGGGTCCCACAGGGCTCTGCCGGGGCTGGGGAAGGGGAAAGGAGGGGAGTCCCGGGGTGGTAGTGGAGTTCAACCATCACAGACAGCGGCAGAGGGCAGCCGGGAGACAGACACGAGCAGGGCCAGAGGGGGACAGGCCACGGCAGGTCCCCACAGGCCGGGAATTAAAAAAAAAAAAAAAAAAAAAAAAAACAAAAAAAAAAAAAAAAAAATAACCCCCAAAAAACCAAACAAACAAACAAAAAAATAAAAGGGGTTTAAAATAAATCAGTGCATGTTTGGGTGTCCTGGTGCCGGAGGAGAGGCCGCGCGTCAGTCGGCAGTTTCCGTGGTCTCCATCTTCTCCGGAGCGCTGGTCTCTGGGGAAGAGAGGAGGGGGTGACGATGCCATACCCCAACCCGCGGCACCCAGACCTAAACCGGGACACCCCCCCGACCCCAAAGGAGGACTGAGGTCGGGGACCATCTTTCCGGATCCCTCCGCCCATGGCACACGGGTGGACGGCAGCGGCTGCCGGCGCGGCACTTACCCGCCGTGTCTTCTCTCAGCTTCGCCAACACACACGACTTGATCTCCAGCCCGATGGCTTTGGCTAGAGGAGGAGGCACTGCGTTACCGACCTGCGACAGAGGGAGGGTTACGCTGGACGCCGGCTCCGCCACGTCGCCGGTAAGGGGATGCCCGCCGGCGAGGGGTTTGCCAGCAACGAGCGGCCGGCACTCACCTGTCTGTGCTTGTCGAGGATGTTCCCGAAGAGGCGGTAAGTATCGGGGAAGCCCTGGGAGCGGGCACACTCCCTCACACTCACCACTCGGTGCTGCTCCGGGTGCAGCACCCGACCCTACGGCAGCAAATGAAACCAAGGGTTGGAACCGCGGCAGCCATTGGGCAACGCCTGCCCTTGCCGGCAGAGGGGACAGATCCGGCGGCGCTCACCTGCTTGCCCATGGGCTCGGGGTTGGTGACGGTGGTGCTGAAGAAGCCATCCCACTCCAGGCGCCCGTAGAGCCCAGCCCAGTGGTTGTGCCGGTTGCCGGTATGGGGCAGGCACCAGGGGATGAGGGTGTTGAATTGCCGGTCCGCGGGGTCGCAAGGCTTGCCTGGGAAGATGGAGGGGGTGAGGTGGGGGAGCGGACAAGCAGCCATGGTCGGTTTTGGGGAGCCAGCACCTACCTTCAGCACAGGAGCAGACCCCCCGCAGCGCCCCGGAGCTGCTGCGGCCATTTTTCTTCTCGTGGTGCGTGTACCGCAGCTTGCGCGTGGTTGTGCCGTCTGACAGCCGCACTTCGATGTTGGGCAGGTCACGCCAATCAGAACCGGGGGCCAAGGGGATGTGTCTCATCCGGGCTGCGACCAGGGCACTCATGTCCTGCCAACGACAAGCCCGCCGTCACCGTTGGTGGGGCAGGGGACACAAAGGGACACCGGCTACCCCAGGAGGCCCGGTCCTCTCTCCGGAGAAGGCTGGGGGAGAGGGACAGGTCCCGGCAGCTCCACCAGCCTCATCTTTGGGAAAGTTAACCAGGGAGGGCTTGGGGATGGTCCCTCTCACCCCACCTCACATCCAACCTGCCCTTGACCCCCATCTCGGTTTGGTTCTGGGGTATCCAAGTGCAGCCTGGCCCCTCATTGAGACCCTGGCATCCACACCTTGCAGATATGGTCCCTGAGGATGGGCTGATACTGGGAGCCCCGGATCTGCCGCTGGAACCAGGACTGGGGCTCGCCATTGTAGGAGATCTCCAAGGCGGAGGCACCGTTCCTGATCTCCGGAAGGTCGGACATGGTGTCCCGCACGGTGATGGTGCGGAAGGGGCCGGAATATGTCCTGGGAGGAAGGAGGGAGCCGTGAGCGGACAAAACCTCACCCTCACCAGCCCCAGTGCGGCGCCAAAGGCTCACCGGGTGATATTGCTAACGAACTTCTTGTCGTCCACCACGACGCTCAGCTGACAGGCACGGGGCGCGAACACGTGCAAGGGCTCGGGGAACATGGGCAGCTTCTCGCCGGGAGCTGCGGCAAGGACAATGGCTCTCCGCCGCGTCTGGGCCACGCCATACTGGCCAGCCTGGCAAGGAAAGGACAACTCCTGAAGGGGCTGGAGCATCCCCATCCAGTCAGTGCCCCTCGAAGATCTGGGAACAGCCCCCCAAGCCACCGAGGGAAGCCAAAGAGCAACGCAGCCAACTGCTCCTTAAGAGCGGGACGGTCCACGGCAGAGCCAGCTGAGAGGAGAAGGGCTTTCGCCCCGGTTAACTCTCTCTGGGTCACCCAACACCCTACCTGTAGGACCCCGAAGGTGCACTGGTAACCCATGCGGACAAGGCAGCGCAAGGTGAGCTTCAGCACCATGGAACGCTTGAAGGACACAAAGTTCCTGACGTTCTCCAGAAGGAAGAACCGCGGTCTGTAGTAGTCGCAGTAGCTGCGAGGAGGGAGAGGGACAAGGGAGCAAGGACAGAGCAACGTTTGAGGTGGGGGTCCGCACCCACGCCCCGGCACAGGTCCTCGACACCTCCCCTGCTCACCTGAGGAAGGAGACCACCAGGGAGTTCTTGAACTTGGAGTAGGTGCGGGAGTTGAAGCGGTTCATGCCGCTGAAGCCCTGGCACGGAGGACCACCGCACAGCATCTCCACATCCCCCTTCTGCGGCAGCTTCTGCCCCAGCGAGTTGGTCTTCTCACCAGACATGACCAGCTTCAGCAGGACGTTGCAATCCTCCGTGAAGACGGTAGTGCCAGGGTTGTTCAGCCGGAAAGCCTGGGCGGCCGGTTCCCACATCTCGATGGCCCAGAGCGTCTCCGACACGCCTGGGGAGACAAAACGGAGGATCTTGAGCCTGTGCGGAGGAGCAGAGCGCTGGCTCGCACTCCCTGATCCGGCACATGCCAAACACAACTGCCAGCTTGGAGGAACTGAGCAGCCAGCACCAATGCCCGTCTCCCCGCGGGCTCTGCTTGTCACCCCACTGCTGTCCCCTCTCTGCCGCTCACCTGCCTGGTGGAAGCCTTCGGACAGCCCTCCGCAGCCAGAGAAGACATCCAACGTCCTCAGCTTGGGGAGCTTCAGCTCGGCCGGCTCCTGCTCACTCTGCTCGCAGCTCACCGACGACTTCCCTTTGCCTTTGCCTGCGAACAGAGCCCCGCTCACATCAAAAGGCAAAGTCATTTCCTCCTCTTACTGCTTACAAGGCAAATTCTTCTCCCCCTCCTCCGCAGCAGTTAAAACGTCAGCTTCAAGCACCTTTCTGCCCCTTAATTGTTTCACCGCCACTGCCAGAATACGCCCTTGCTTTTGGAAGGCAAGCCTCTCGTCTTTTCCCTTTCCATCCAACAGCCTCTGGGCGCAGGCAGAGAGTTTCTGAGGGTCAGACGGGCGCAGCAATAACTCCCAGGGAAGCTCCCCATCTTGGGAGCAGGGTACAAAAGCCCAACGCTATGGAGCAGGAGCCCCTGGCAGAGGGTTGGCAAGTGAAAGGCTTCGAGATCTCTGAAGGATCATGTCCTGTCACCGCAAGGTTTATTTCAAAGAGACGAGGTGCCTTAAAACCACATTACTGCATCCTGCCAGAGCATCGGAGCAAGGAGGAGGGCACAGAAACATCTGGTCAGCGGCACGTCTTATCTCTGCTCGGCAGCACATAACGGCAGACGTGAACTGGTTCACCCACCCGAGACCTCTCCCCTCAAGCAGACTTACCTTTCCCTTTCCCCTTTCCCTTCCCTTTATTGCCAGAGCTCCGAGCATGGTTGGGAGGATCTTCAAAGCTCTTGGTTTTTGCATTGTAAGCCTGGGGAAGAGAAAGGGTTCAGGACGCTTGAACACAAAGAGCTTTTCTAGCTCAGGAACAGCCAAGGGATTGCCAACACCCAACTGGAGCTGCAAAACCAAAGGGCAGAAGGACACAGGCACAGCGCTGGGCCCCGCAAAGGGTCCATCACCTCCTTCTCCATTGCCTCAGGGAGCCGGGGAGGCCACCAGAGGGTCTGAATTTGGCCCCTTAGTTCCACAGGGAGCAACTGCTCCAGCCAGCTCCTGGTGACACTCAGATTAAAGCTTCCTTTGTATCCGAGACTTAGTCCCCAGGAGGTCGCAATGAGCTACAAATCCTCACTCCGCACGATGGCTCCTCTGGGCAAAACACACCCAGAGAGGCAGGACAGCCTGCACCGAGAGGCAGAGGTCAATGCGCCTGCTCTGCTCAGTCCCCAGGGACTTAACACACCCAGGGACACAGCCAGACCCCTCAAACCCCGGCTCCCTCACCTCCAAAAAGTAGAAGCGGTCAAGCCCACCAGCAGAGTAGTCCTGGATACTCTCCGTCAGGTCTTCCCCATACACCACCGTGCAACGGCCCTGCACGGCACGGAAGTCGACCGTCGTCTCCTCGTCACTCCAGTACAGGAGGTTGATGTCTGCATGGTAGCTGGCTTTCATGGACTTGTGCGTGTTTTCGGGTCTGCGGAGAAAAAACACTTGGATCAGGGAAATGTTTTCGGCAAGATCCTCATCCCGGTCCAGCCTCTGGCACTCACACCACTCCGTCTCCCCAGAGAGAGGGTTTGTTTCCTCTGGCTGCGCGTGTTTGCTGGCATGGGCTGGGCACAGTACCAAAGGGATGATTTGTTTCATACCAAAGGGAGTTTTTGGGGGGTTTTCTTAGAGGAGGGAGGGGGGAGTTGGCACCAGAGCTGATAAGTGAAATTAAAGGCAAAGAGATCTAGTGCAAGGAGAGCTGTTAGGCTTGAAACACATAGAGTCTGAGCGTCAGCACGTTCTTTTCCCGCTGCCAAGGCTCTTCGCACACATCCCTCTGTGGTGTGGGGGAGATGACTAAGAGCCTGCAAATGTTTGGGTAAACACCCACACCCTGGGACGGCGCTGGCAGTGCGGCTCAGCAGCGGGTCTGAGCCCAGACCGCCGTGGCGGTAAGCCCCTTCGACTGCACCGACCAACCACGCCATGGTGCTCGAGACACCTGGCTCTGGTGTGACCTTGAGCTGATGGTGCAGAGCTTTTCCCAGCACCCGAGATCTCGGGCGAGCCCTGCAGCCCACTCGGGGGGCGGGGGGGGGAGTGTCCTGCACCCCTGTAACGCAGACCCCAGCAGCACTGTTCACCTGTAAAACTTGCAGATACGCAGCTTGATGTCGGCCTCGTTCGGTTTGCCATTGCTGCGGATGTTGCAGAAGATCTCTTTGATGCGGCCCACGCGGTAAGGGTCGGGGGCATCCAGGTTGCTGCCCTTGATGTACTCGGAGTACTTGCGGTAGTGCTCTGGGTGCAGCTCCTCATCCACCGCCTCCTTTTTGGGGCGCTTGGCTGGGCTGGCGGGTTTCATGCTGGGGAGAAGGGGAGGGAAGGAGGTTAGGCTATCCCTTTCCCCCCCAAAAAACGTAGCAACGCAGAGCATCCTCCTCCCACATCGCTGCCTAGCCTGCCTGGTCTCTGTGGCGTAGGGTGGCAATGTGCGCACCAAGCCACTGCGGCAGCACCGGCACCGAACCTCCTGCTCCGCAGCACAGACATTTTACAGCCAGACCATCACATAACCGTGCACAGCTGCAAACCAAGATGCCTACACGTTGCTGCCCCAAAGAGGTTTGCCATTTCTCCTCCCATAATTACAGGCAGCAGGCAGGGTCTTGTTTCATCTTTCATCTACCCAGGCTCGCTCTTTTGAAGAAAAAGCGACGCACAAAAGGATTCTGATTCAGCTGCCAAAACACGAGAGCTCAGCGATCAGGATTGTCTGAGCGGAGAAAAGTTGCTCTGTTTAATCACAGGAGGTGAAATTGGGGTTAGAAGCACCTTTATTTTTAAACCAAGCTTTTGGAAATTAGAGTGATAAGTGCTTTGTTTACAGGTGGAATTCACTATCCGGAGACTACGTCCTCTGCTACCAAAAGCTTGACCAAAGAGCATCCCGAGAAGTGCTTACAGCCCCCTGCAAGCACCAACCTGAAGGAAAAGGCTTCCGGCAGGAGGTATACGCCATCTCCCACCCTGTACTGCACTCCATTCTTGGTGGCCATGGCGTAGAACATCTTCCCATCCCCTTCATCCAGGGGCTCAGCCACTTTGGGTATCTCCTTGTGCCTCACCTCGTCCAGGCGTGTGCAGCTCATGCAGAACCTGTGGGAAAGGGGGATGGCAGAGTGCGGTGATGGGGACCCTGCCAAGGCTGGCTGCAGTGCTGCCAGGAGCTGAGAGGCTCCTGCTGTCAATTTTAGGCAGAGCAGATCCCGAGAGCCGCTGCCCTGCGCACGCTCACTTGTATTTGTTGTCTTCCGTGGGCTGAGTTTTCGGTGGGGACTCGAATCGAGCGTACTCCTGGTCATACCACATCTGATAAAAGTAAGTTCTCCCGTCGTCTTCCACCATCTTGATCTCCATGTCCAGCCCGCCCTGCTAGGAGAGAGGTGTTCACAGGAATCGGTGCTGCTGCCCACGCCGCACCTGGTCCGGGCCAGCCGGGGTTTGCAGGGCTGTCACCCACCTCCATGGACCAGTTCTCCGAGGGCGCCTTGTAGATCACTTTGACTTTGCCATGGATGTAGGAGAGCTGCATGTCCTCACACTCGTCCACCAAGAAGAGCTCCAGGGGGTCAGAGGTGGCCCCCAGGACAGTGTCTGAGCCGGGGCAGAACCAGTGTGCGTGGAACATCTGGCCACTGCTGTCCTCCCACATGGCTGTCACCCTGAGGGGGAGGAGCCAGGGTTATGGGGCACCATAAGAAAGGGCTGAGCTGCTCCAAGCCTTGCCAGAGCTGAAGAGTCCTCAAACAGCAGCATGGCCAAGCAATTAGGGTTCTCTAATTGGGAACATCAGCTGTCCCCACACACGTCCACCCCAGCAGGAGCAGACTCGTCCCCTTCAGCACCATGGCACCAACCTGGCGAGGTAGAGGGGCTTGGTGGGATCATCAGGGCTGACGGAGACACAATCTCCCACCTCCAGGGTCTCCGAGTCAATGCAGACCCTCTGGTAGTAGTCCTTCTTCCCATCGCTCTGCAGAAGCGGGGAGAAAGCGGAGAGCACTGTTAAATCCCCACACCGGCAAGCGACACAGCCCCCTTCGCAGCCTGAGCACCCATCCCAGCAGGAGGGGTGTGGGGTCCTGCCCAGCCTCACCTTGATGGGCTCCCCCACCCAGGAGATACGGCTCTTGTTCTGCTTCTTCTTCCTGCCCTGCAGCATCTTCTTAGGTGATGGCATCTCAGGGATGTTGTCATCTACCTCCTCGTCCTCATCAGCTTCCCGGACGGCCAGGTTGGGACACCTGGGGACACAGGGACTGTCACTGCAGCAGGGCATGGTGCGGGGACCACATCCCCTCTTCTCCAGAGGCGGAGAGGACTTAGAGGAGGCATGGCTGCCCGTGGGAGACGCACCTCCTCTGCAAACAAGCCTGCTTACTCCGTCCGCTGCCCCCAAACTTCACCATGTTCTGGCAAGCTTTGCACTTCCCACACTCAGGCTGCTGGCAAACCTAGACCAGGGAGAGGCGACAGGCTGAGCACCAGCAGACACAGTGGAGGGACAGGGAACAAGGGGAGCTTGGTGGCCTCTGGAAATAGGTCCCCTGCCCCAAGGGAGCAACCCCAGAAGGGGCCATTCAGGCAGGATGGAGAGGATGGGAGGGGATCGGGTCAGTTCGGCTCCACGCCAGACCCCAATTACCTCACAGACACCGCAGCGCCGGCGCTTCATGGCATTCTCCTTGTCATCTTCCTTCTCGTCCTTCTCGATCTGCTCCGAGAAGAAGGTGTCGAAGATGAGGTACACCAGCTTGGTGGTGGTGGCTTTGGTGGGACCCTTGTCCTTGTCTATTTTGGTGGGGTGCCGGATGGCCTGCCGCCTGACAGCTCGCCTGCAACCAAGGTGAGAGCGGTGAGAGGGAGCTCTGTGCCTTGTTCCGCTGACAGCTACAGCCACAACAAACAGCCCGGCACCCAAGGAGGGTCCCCAGGGAACACAGCTCTCCCAGCAGCCCAGGACCACGGCAGGATCCCCTAACAGGCACTCAGGTACATGCTGTGGCTGGCATGGGGTCCTGAAGGGATGCTACAGCAGGACAAAGAGCAAAGCCAGGCTCTGGGGACCCAAGCCAGAGCCTTTACTCCCTTGGGGCAGCACTAGGTAGAGGGTTTTCCCAGTTTTGGGAGGATTTCTACCCCAATCTCCCAGTGCTTCTCATGCCACTGAGCCTAAATCCTCGCGTCATCCCAGCTGGAAACAAGCAGAAGGGTTTTCCTGGAAGGATACCCTGTGCAAAGTCGATGGGGAACCAACCCAACGGGCTCCTCCTGGGATATTGCAAAGCCAAATGCCCCCCAAAGACAGCATCTACGCAGGGCTCACCTCTTCCCCAGGGTGACTCCAGCCAACTTGATCAAGTCCCTCATGCAGGGCGTGATGAGGACGGGGGGTTCGTCGCTGTCCCCGGCTTCATCGTAGCTTTCCACCTGCTCCACCACGAACTGGGCATGTCGCAGGAGCGAGTCCTCTGTGAAGCGGTTGAAGTTCAGCCCCGCAGGAGGTACAGTGGTCTGCGAGGAGGGGTTGGTTAGGGAAAGGGTGGCAGAGCAACACCCACCCCCGCACGCCGCCGCCGCCCTCGGATTTTCACCTCAATTTTGTTGAGCAGATCCTCGTAGCTGACGTCGCGGTTGTTCTGCAGGAACTCAACAACGATTTTACTCATGTAGATCTTCTCTTGCATGAGGGCGAAGATGGGAGCGTACTCCTCGCTGGGCTCCATCAGGATGTAATCTGCGAAGGCTGCGGCAGAGAGATCACGGCAGGCAATTAAATACCAGGGAATTTAGCAGTATTTAAGGATGAGCTAGGACTGCAGCAAGCAGGTCCTGGGGAGGGGGAAGACCAGCCCATCCACGCTGCTACAGCACCAAGACCTAAGCGTGCGGGGAAACTCTACCACGAGCCAGGACCCACGGTCACTCAGCTATCACCACCAAAGCGAGGGGGGAGTGGGGACTTGAGGTGGGGCACACTATCCACGCACTAGCCTTTTATTTTTGCTGTTACCTAATTAGAAAGCAAAGACAATCCAGGGTTTTTTTCTGTCACTACAAACTCCATTTGCTGATGCACAGGAGAGTTAAGTCCTCCTCTGATATCACCAGGATATTGGAAGGGTTCCTTGCAGAAATGGTGAATGGAAAAAGCTTTTAAACCCCCAAATATCAGCTTCTTCCCCCAATTCGGCTAGAGAGTGAAAAAGCCAGCTGTGACACAGAGCCAAGGGCTGGCCAGGACTGGGTGTTCCTCCAAGACCTTTCTCAACACAAACCTGTCCAAAAAGCCGAGTGTAGAGTAAGAAAGGAACAGAGCCCTGCGACAGGGGCCAAGAGGTCAAGAGCAAAGAGAAAACTCCCTCCAAGAGCGACCCTGACCCACTCCTGCATTGCATTGGTGGCTTCCCACGGAGGAGGGACCAGAGGACGGATCCTGCCTGGGAAGGGCTGCCGGGGAGATACCCCCCTCCAGCCACCTTGCTCATCCCAGCGCCGATAGCCTCATGCAGGGTGCTGCTGGCAGCTGCAAGCTCAGCAGGAGGTTTTACATGCATTTAATGCAAGCCTGGGTGCTGCTGAGCTAAATAAACCCAAACCCAAGCTTCGGCATGGTCCTCCACCTTGCCACGTGCTTGTTGGTGCAAGTTCCCGGCAGCAGCAAAGTCCACGAACCCCGATAAAGCTCCTTCACCAGCCAGACAGGCAGCAGAGACTTAAATCCCAAGCCAGGCTTGCTCCCCGAATCCAACCTCCCCCATCCTCGCTCACCCACCTGTGGTGAAGCCGATCAAAGCCTTCTCCCCTCCATCGAACCCCGTGATCCACCAGGCGTTTATGGGTCCCAACTTCTTGGCTCTCACCCCACCTGAAAGCGAGAAAACACAAATTTCAGTCCTCAGTGCCCAAAAAACCCAAGCAGCTGCAGATGACAAATTGCCACCCAGATCCGACTTAATTTTGCACACGGTGTTGAGCTGAAATTTAAGGTGACAAACCAACGTCCCCACAGCCCTCGAGGCTCCTCCAGATCAAACTCACCATCCAAACAAGGGTTATCGTCGTAGATGGGCTTCACAGCACCACTGAAATACAGCTCGATGTTCCTCTCGATCAGGCCGGTGTCAAAGGGGCACAAGTGACCTCGCTTGTCATAGACGCTGGCAAGGGACAGAGGTTATAGGTTGATGTGTTGTCCCATGGGGTTTGCAAATTCAGCAGGTTTTTATAGCCTGCTTTCCCCACATCTCACCTAAAAGAGGTGACTTTGTGCTGCGGCAGGTCCTCGTAGCTCTCAAAGCCATCTTCGTTAGCGTCAAAGAGGGACAAACGCTCATCCGTCAGCATTTCTGGCTCCTCCAGCTGAACGAGGGAGAGACGAGGACGTTTAACGAGCGTTCCCATTAGCACGACAGCTCTCCCCAGACCCAGAGAAGGAGCATTAAATCCCTTACGGCATCATCAGGATCTCCTTGGAAGAATTTGAGGTCAGGATCATCGAGGTACTGTCTGCAGTCGACGCACTTGGGAGGAGTGGTCTGCAAAACAGGGGAGACGGTGACAGCTTTTCTCTGCCCCCCATGAGCTTCAGCCTATGATCAGGCTCAAAGCTCCTTCCACAAATGGTCCCGTTCGTTAGCACAACCCTCGTTTTTAAAGCACCCAGGCAGCAAAACAGTGGCTGCTGCCCTTGCTCCAAAAGCAGCCCAAGCTCATAAAGGCTGTGTTGCTCCCCACCTTGCTGGGGGGGTTGATTTTTGGAAGCTGCATGGGCTGGAAATGGCTTTATCTTTCCCTTAGGGAAGTCCAGCTGCTCTTTGGAAGAGTTAAAACAATAATAAAGAAAAAACCAAAACCAAAATGCTGCGATGGAAGAAAAGGAACTTACTTTAGCAGGTGTTGTAGTTTTAACCTGAGTAATTTCATCTTTTATCTCCAACCTGGGTGTAAAAAAATACAAAGGGATGAAGACACAGAGAAGCGTAATGTCGACATCCTCCCAACACTAACGAGGCCATGGCAGAGGGAAATGGGCACTGACAGGCACCAGCCCAAAGCAGGGAACACTCTCCTTCCTCCTTACCCTTCTTTGGTTTCGATTTTAATCCTTTTCTCATCTTGTTCCTTGAGGGAGAAACGAAGGAGTGTAAGGGGAGGCTGGAGAGCACGACGCCCTCCAGGACAACACATGCTCAACCCCAGCATGGTGGCTGCCTGGCAAAGCAACTGGCAAAGACCTTGGCTGCCAACGGTGCCGGCACACACCTTCTCCTCCAGCTCCTCTTCCTCCTTCTCCACGTTCATCGCCTCCTGCTTCACTTCCCCGTTCACCTCCTCCGATTTCCGTTTGTTGGACCTGACGGTTTTTAAACGCAATGGATCAATCTGGCGCTCCGACGCCATGAGGGTTTGGAGGGTAATGAGGGGCTCTCCCGGCACCGGCAGGAGCGGGGCTCCCCAGGGGAGCGCCCAGCAGGTCCCCAAGGCCAGTCTTATTGGGAACCACAAGTTTTGGGATTGAACCCGTCAGCCCCGGATGGCAGAGAGAGGAAGAAGAGGGCGAAGGCTCCTGGGGGACACGGTAAAGGAGGTGCAGGTCCCAGCCCTGCCACTGTACTGACCCTTTGGAGAACATGCTCAGGATGGTCGGCTGCCGGCCGGAGCTCCGAGTGACCCGGGAACTAGCGGGAGACTCTGTTAGGAAGATGACGAAGGATTGCGTTAACGATGGGGACCCGCTGCCCTTCCCCTCCTGCAACAGCCCACGGGGCTGGAACCACCGTGGGTGACAGCACCCCTCTCCCCGCACCCCACCATCCCGGAGCAAGGCAAGGAGACCCCAAGACCTTTCCTGGGGGGATCTCTGCTCACAATCCCTCCAGGAATCATCATATTCCCGCTTAGTATTTAACGGTAATGAATTATTTACTTTAAGCACGTTGGAAAAGAAGACAGAAAACCAAGTTGCGCCCGCTGTCGCCATTACTTTTGCTCTCCCCGTTGGATCGGCTCCTCCTGGCCTTGCGTGCCCGCGGCGTGGGGACCAACGAAGAGGAGGAAGAAGAGGCGGCTGCTTCCTCCATCTCCATCGCGCTGTCTTCTTCCCCATCGGGTCCTGCTCGCTCCGAGTCCTCGTCGCTCCCGTAGGCGCCGTTTTTGGAGCACCCGTTCGATGCCTGCAGCAGCGGTGCCACGTCCCCATTCTCCGCCGAGAGCTCTTGGTGCAGCAGGGCTTTCACCTTGGCCAGGTACCTCTCCTGGGAGGGAAGAGCGTCAGTTAAACCGCCCGGCTCCGGTGAGCCGTGCCGCTAAGGAGCCGGCACAACCCAACCCGCCAGCTCACCGAAACCCAGGGTCTCACCTCTGACAGCTCCTCGCAGCGGAGTTTGGCTTCCAGCTCGCTCAACTGGTTCTGGACATCGGCTTGGAGGAAGCCGTGGATGAGGCTCAGCTTCTCCTTGACGCACTCCTGCAGGGACGGAGGGGACGGCATGGGGCGGGCGGCGGTGACACTCCCCTCGGGGCTCGGCAGAGCGGCATCTCTGTAGGCGGTTGGGCTGAGCCGAACCGCCGGTCACTCCGAATCCGGGCGCCGCTCACCCAGCTCACCAGGACCCTCCTGATATGAGGTGACGGCGGTTTCCATATGACAACAGACAGCGCCAACACCAGGACTACGACCTCATCAGGTCCAGGGAACTGGGCCAGCAAGGGAGACACGGGGGTCTCACTCGGCCAGCCTGCCACACCGTCCCCCCCGACCCTACCCCGTGGGGCTCCAGAAACCCCCCATCCTGGCAACGTCACGACAGCACAGAAACAAGAGGCTCAGGAGCACCGATGAATCGCAGTGCCCTGCTCAGCACCAGAGTCACTTCCCCGCTGAGCATCCAGGAGCTGGCTCCGGAGCCCCGCCAACTCCCACCGCTGTAAGCCGGAGCATCCCGAGCCTGATGGCAGCACCCGATGCGGGACCGGCAGTGACAGCGCAGGATGGCGGGCACCCAAATTGGAGCCGAGGGCAGGTGGAAGTGCGGCTCCTGGTGATCCAGGGACACTCACCTTCTCGCTCAGGCTGTCTTCATCCCTCTCCAAGTCCTGCAGCCTGCAAGAGAAGAGCGTTGGGGGTCCGACCACGCTCCACCAACAGGCGACGAGGTTATGGGGGGACACACTGATGGGCAGCGGCAACCGGGACAGACCCCAAAATCGCCTCGACAGCTCTAAAAACGGCACCTGGCAAAGGAGCGGCACCGGCTGCAACCGCAAAGTGGGGCCAAACTCCCTTGGAGTAAGAGGGATGCTCGGCTCCCAGGCAGGGAATAAAGGGGGGCTGGCAAAGGGATGCCGGTGCCTAAGGGACCCCCCAAGGTAGCAGCGGGGGCTTGTTGCCCACCTGTGCCCTACCCTGGCATGGAAATGGCAAAAAACCACGGGGGAGAAGCCACGTGTTGTCTTCCCACGGCGCTGGCGGCACAAAGCGGCAACGGAGGGTGGGGGGAAGCGGCTGGCGCTGCCCCTGCGCGGCGGGGACAGCCCCCAGCCCCGCAGCGAGGAGATGGCGAGGAGGAAACCCTGTCCCCGCCGGGGGATCGGCACGACCCCAACGCTCCCCCCCCCGGTTCACCACGGCTCTCCCGCCAAAAATGGGGAGCCCGTCTGCCGAACCAGGGCCACGCAGCCGCCCCCCAGGAAAGCTTCTCTTTGCCAGGACACAGGACAGGACCTCTCCGGTGCCACCGGCATGTCCGGCACCGGCTCCGTTCGCTCCCATCTCACCTCCAGCTGCCCGCTTTTTTGGCTTCCTGCCCCCACACTACCGCCAATTCCTTCGAGCCGGGGCCAGCGGGGAGGGCGAGGGGTCCCCACCGCCACCCCCCCAAAAAAACAGGAGGGCGATAAATCCTGTCCCGTCATCGGCACCTGGGTTTGAAGACGGCCATGCAGCCGGAGCTCCGGCAAAGACCAACGGCGGACGGGAAAAGGTCGGGGCGCGCCAAGGCTGTGCCGCGCGGCCGCCGCACCGGAAGAGGGGTAGCCGAACCGGAGAACGGCTCGGCAGCAGCCGGCGAGCGCGGGCCCCCCCCTTCCCGCCGGCCAGGGGATGCCGGGAGGCGAGCGGAAGGGACAATAGCCGGCGGGGAATACGGCGCAGGAAACGCCAACCCTCCATGTGCCCTCCCCGCTGCCGGCGGCGGCGGGGCGAGAGCCGGCGGGGGGGGGACGCGGGGATGGTGCCGGATCCCTCCGGAGCAAGGAGTGGGATTGGCTTGAAACCCCCCCACGCCGAGGGAAGGAAAGGTCCCCCCGCTGCACCCCGCTTCCGCTCCCCCAGGAAGGGATTTCTGTGCCCCCCACCCCGGAGAAAGGTGGGGGGCCACCCAGCATGTCCACCCACCCCGGCCGGGTGCACCCTCGCTCCCTGTCCCGAGCGGCAACGTGGGGACAAAGCCGTGCGGGGGCAAGGCTGGGCGTCCCCACTGCCACGTGGGGCCCGGCTGTGGGGCAGGAGCAACCTGATGGCCCCCCCTGGCGAAACCCCCCCCCACAGCTGGGTGTCAGGGCTGTCCTGTGGGGCAAAGGGGGCTGCGGGGGGGTGGTGGGACCCCAGTGCGGTGCACGGCTGAGCTGTGGTCGGGCTTGGTGGGTGCTGG